ACTTAAAAGTTAAAATCCTTAAAGAATGCCATGTAAATGATCCAAAAGCATACAAATCACCGAGTAAAAGACGTTATGACTTTGATTAGTTTACGAAAAAGAAGATGTAAAAATCAAAAAAATAATAGTTTTAAAAAGTTGTTGTTGTAACACTATAGAAGATACGTGAATATATTGACACTTGGTATAACGTCTAAAACTTACCGACTAGTGTTAATTGTAGGTACTGAAAAAAATGTTAATATTTGTCCTCGAAAAATAAAAAATATGGATATTTCCAAGCGTTTATATTTTAATAAGATAGGTACGAGCGGATCGGTTATAGGCTTACATTATAATGTGTTGACGTTCGTATTAATTTGAATTCCATAAATATATTATTACAGACAGTACACACATACGTTTACCTAACTAACGTATTATCATATTAAACATTCACTTTTGCAAAGTAAATTAAATTACTTGTCTGAATGGACCGATTACAAATTCAATAATCACTCTCTCAATTAAGTTTATGTACTAAAATACATCATGTGGTCGCTCTATGTGCGTATTGTGCACTCGTATACACTCGTATGCGCGCACCGTAATAGTAATTTATTTTCACTGAAATATGCGTTTATTGACCTAAATAATTTAACAATTAATAATGCAAATGAATATTATGTATGCATATATAATATATTGATTATTCGAATATATTATTAAATGTCTAAAATAATACTATTACCAGTATTACCTAATACCTTGCGCACCGGGGATTATAATAATAAATACGCTCCAGCGTCCTGTCCTCCGATTGGTCGAATTATTGGTAAGAAAACTATATGTAAATTATTAAATATCGCTTAAATTTGAATTGTCATAAGTTAAACGATAAGTAATTCGCCACCTTTGCCGCCAAAAGTCGCTAAAACAGGCCGAACTAAAGGTAAAATTAATGTTTTTCTACTTTGAATGAAGGTAGGTACATTATTACTATTGTCGAATTTAGGTAAACATACAACTGTAGTTGGAATTAAAAAAAAAAAAAACCCCAACTGACATATTTTGCAAGATGACTGAGCCACTATTGTAGATGAGAAATCAGGAATGGTAGAAGGGAAATATAATGTACACGCAACAATTAATCATTGCTAACGAAAAATGATTCTCAGTGGAGATCAGTTGTACATGTTTTAAAAGGGGCCGTTCGATGTTGATGATGTATTATTTACGATTTAATACATTTCGTACATTTTCTCGTTTTTTCCCGGTTTTTCCATTTTTTATTAAAATCCGTGGGAAAAAAATAATTTTCCTAAGGTACCCCAGAAAAATTTTCTATTAACGCTTGGGAAAAAAATGAAAATCATTGTAAAACCAATACATTTCTCGCTCCAATCAGAATCTAAAAATTGAATACGAAAGAATTGGTTTCTTTTCAAATACTTCCTTTGAAAATTGAACATTCTGAAAAATATCGAACGCGAAAACTGATATTAGCTGTTCACATTAGAAATCTTTATGTAGAATTTATAAAAAATCTATGGAAAAACGGTGGAGCGATAGAACGTAGAACGATTACTAGTGCAATTTGGATTTTTGAAGGGAGGGGGTGTCACATGTCAAAATTAAAAAAAAAACACGTCTCTTAACACATTTACATTACTAAAACATGGATGTAGGGGGTGTCCAGAACCCCAAAACACCACCCTGGTTGCGTTAATGTGGACGATATATATGACATATTATGTATACCTGCACCGAGTTAAAAAGTTAAATGCTAGGTTAATTTGAAATGTTGGTAAAGCTAATAAGTCTTGATTTTTGCTTATTAATTAGACTCGTTTTATTATTAGTTCTGAGCAACACGAGGATTGCATTGATTTTACAGTAATGTTTTTTTTTTCTGAAGAAAATCTGACTGGGGTTATAATTTAAGGAGGCATTTTTCGATTTTCTCGGAGATTTTCGTAATAAATTGGAGAACCGGTAAAAAAACCGTAAAATTTGCGAAATGTATTAATTTTGAATCATGAAAATAAGTATATTTCGGCCTTTCCAAATATGTATAATCGTGCTCCACTTAGAATCGTTTTTCATTAGTGGTAATTAATCGTTGATTATGCATTCGATTTCCTCTCTACCTTTTCTAACTTCTCACCTATAACAATGGCCTAGCCACCGTGCGAAGTATGTCTGTTTGTTTTTTTACATTATCTTAGTAAATAATGAGTTAATTTATATTATATAAAGTTAAGTTATACTCCGACTTCTTTGAATTACACAATGATAAATTTACAATCTATACAATATCTAATACTATTGTATACAATTGTACAACGAATTTGTTGACCATAAGGAGTTAATATTTTAATTGTATTTTTAAATAACTTTTAAATGAACTTAGTTTGTTAATTAAACTAATAACTTTTAAAGTGTTCATACGTTAATATTTTTTTTTTTTTTAGATTTTCTTAACTGACTAACTAAGTTAATATTGTTTATTAAGTTGTCCAGACTTAGCATAAATAATATTATTAAGTATACAATACATAGCAAATAACAAACTTCCAAACTAGTTTTTTTTTTCAGTTATAGAATACAATTTGAAAAATGTATTATAAAAACGCGATATTGTGTGTTTGCACGTGGAAAAAAAATAACAAAGTTCAAAAAGTGTTTACAGCTTACGTGTAATAATAATGGATCGTTTTTTATTATTATTTATTTTTCTTCTATACATACGTATTTTTTTCGGTACCTATAAAATTGATATTCGGTCAAAGGAAGGTAAGCAGGTAGATAGGTGATAGGTTTTTTCGGATTTTTTTTCTCTTTACACAATAAACCTTTGCTGCCTTTAACGCCTATTTCATATTACCTACAAAATATAGTCTGCACGCGGGGTTTTACTAAATATCGGGGAAATTGATATTCGAATGTGCCTTTCAGGGTGTTTGGCCATCAAAAACATTTTAAAAATTATGCGAAAAATATCATTACAACATAATATTTTACGGGAGTAAATCGAAAAAAAATCGAAAATTTCGAAAATTATCGTATACAAAATCCAACTATGCTGTAAAAATACAGTTCAATAATACTATTATTCTATAATAAGCAATCGATTTTAATATGTTATCTATTTTCATACCTTGATTATTGTATATTATTATATTCTCTCGGTTGTTTCAAACAGTTCGCCTTTATACACATAAAAACTCACAACGCAAGCGAATTTATAGCTTGTAGGTAACAATAATATTATTATATCAAAATCAATCTCCGTCATCGCGGATGAAAAATAATTCAAATAATATATCTTGCTATAAAAAGGTTTTCCTTTTCGAGCTGACTGTTCAATATCGCGCAGTTATCCTAGTAGGTGGTATTATGTACTGCAGGTGTTTTATTTATGATTATTTTAGTTTTATGATTCTGAGCGTAGTGAGTGAGTGATTGGTTTAACTATTATGTATGTTTTACATTTTTATTTTTTGTCTATTCGGTGGATGGTGGGGGAGTGTGATTTTATAATTTTCTTCGTAATTGGGAAAACCAAAAAAATGCGCAGGTATACGGAACTCCTCTACTATTTTTTTTTTGCACACCTCTACCATTTTATTATACTGGAATAGAAGAACGGTGGAAATTTAACATTTTCAGAACACTATTTAAGGTTATTTTAAATTTATCGTGGTTTCATAACCTTTTTTTTCTTGATTTTATGAATTTATCTATATCCATTTAATTTGTTTTTTATAGTAGTTTATATTAAATCAATATAAAAACCGTCGAAATTCGTGAAATGATAAAGGGAACAGCCACGGTCAAAACGTTTGTAACATTTATAACGATTACTGTCAGTCTTTTTATTTATAATATTACAATTATCTTTTGTTGGTGACCTTTTTTTTTTTTTGTTTTACGACTGAGCAGAGTTCCTCTACTTCATTTTTCCCAATTCAAACACTGGAGTTACAAATATATTTATGATAATATAAAGCTCAACAATTTATAATTATAATATTTTCAAAAAAAAAAAAAAAAAATGAAATTTGAGCATACAAATTATGTAGGAAAAAGAATGAAAGATAAAGGTCGTTCATGATACTGGTGCCACTCATATGTAAAATGTCACGCCATTGGTTTCATTTAGAGGTCCGTAGGAGTAATTCTAAAAATACCCTACTCCTGCAGCAAAATTCCTTTAACACAACTTTTATCACTTCAATCCGCGTCTATAATAGAACTCCAATTCCCGGCTTTGAGACAATTCAGTCCAGAGGGTGTCATGAAAGCTGTACTGTAAGTAGCTGTAATAAGATGTACATATCTACAGATCTATATCTCTACAACAGACAAGATTTAATACAATAGTCTGTATATGTATTCGGGGAAAATTCAACAATAATTAATATTTATACTGTGATGGTACGCATGCATTCAAAGTTCTTATAAGTTTAAAATGTTTTAATAATTTAACGTGTTACCGTACTAAATTAACTAGTTTTTCTATTAAATTAAAATTAAAATAAAAATAATAACAATAATAATAATTTAAGTTAGTAAAAATTAAAACGTTAAAAGCTACAACAGGTAAGAGATAGTATTCAACTTAACTTTTAACCTTTTGAACTCGCTGGTTTCGAACATTAAACCCTCCCCCCTCATTTGTAAATCTAAATAATATAACGTTATTTATAATTATATTGCACAATCATCTAGATAGACGATAATATAGTTTTACTTTTGGGATTTCGCATTTTCTAACACAACGATGTAAGTTAAGCGAAGTTTACTTACTATAGATAGACTTATGACAGCGTAATTAAGTACCTGCTAATGATTTTAAATAACTTGACGGAAGAAAAATATGCCAACACCGGCGCTATTATTCTACGTTATTCTCTATAAACATTTTTAACCTATGCCTATGAGCCGAGTATTGAGTTTAAGAACTTGAGATAAATCCAAGTCGTTTATAGACTATACAAACTTTACAAAACCAAACGAATCATTCAACGGTCGACGACATTATAGTTATACACCAATTTAAATATAATAATAATGTACCAAATAATAAAATCTCTTATCGTTTACCAACTACCAAAATCGTAAATATTTTGTCGGACTTTAGGTACGAAGCGGTTGATAAAAAAATAGCCTAATTTGAAATATTTCGTACGGTGGGAAGGCTATCAATGTTTTATTGGTGGTAAGTTTGGCAGGTGTAACGGAGTAAAAAATAAATCATTCCAAACAAAAATACCATTTGTGAACTGACCGCATTAGACTGCAGTATGATGTTTGTTTTATAGTCCATTTTCTCTATTTGTTGTAGCCTAGATATTCATACAATTAAAAGCTATATAAATATTTAAATTTTTATTCGTTTTGTGTTTTTAAAAAACAGTTATCTATACGGGAAAACGTTTCAATACCAAACGAAAAATAACTCTGAACATAAGTCATATTTTTCTCTTATTTACATGGTAACCAGAAAATCAACAAAAATTGTATAAACGATTGACAGTTATTCCCAACTATTATAAAATATCCTTGAAAAATGAAAAAAAAAAAAAAAAAAAAAAAAAATGATATTTTCAATTCACCAACACGATCTAAAATGAAATAAAAAAAGGTCTTTTGTTATTTGCGATTGACAGTTATTCCCAACTATTATAAAATATCCTTGAAAAATGAAAAAAAAAAAAAAAAAAATACACACACATCACAGTGAAACGTATTGATTCGTCTACGTTACGTTCAGAATCTAACAAAAATAACCCGACAGTTAACAGTGTTGACGATATTGTCTATATTGCTTGAATTTTGATACGTACGGGTTACATTTAGGTGAATATCGAATATCGTCTAAAAAGTATTATAAACAATAATAATATGATACGACACGTGAATATAAACAAGACGAGGGTAATAAACGTATAATCATAATAAATGGTGTTTGCTATCGACGAGGACCTATATAATTATTGACATTATCTTTTGGGGACCCATCGTGGTTTATGTGCACTTTTAATTAGCCGGCCAGGTATATGCAGCTTCGCGTCTTGTTTGTCGGACGGAAACAACCCAATTTTAACGGTTTCGAAATAACAGCGTGTTATTTTTAAAAACTTCGACGCGTATTATTACTGTCGTAATTTTCTGGTATTTTATTATTATTATTATTATTTTTTTATATATAAAAGTGGATAGAAGAAACGTTTATATTATTTATCATTTGTTCACAATACTATTATACGCACTGGTGCCATTGTTTGTCATTTTATCTACAATTAATTGGCTAGTTCTAAATGTATCATGTCTTTGGGACCAGGTTAAAAATCCGCAGCGCCGGTCACAAATCATCGTGGTCCAGAGATCTTCGCCCAGTCATTCTGTGCTCCTCTACTGATAGAATAGTCCATAAAGCCGAGTTTGTGTTCTTTAATCTTGATACCGACGTGTGATCAAAACATCGCACTTATTGTCGTTTTGGCCGTTAAAACAGACGGCCTACTCGTGACCGGGGACGCCGCATCTGTGACACATGTACTGAGCGGTTGGTTAGGTTAGGATAAGAAAACACCTGATAGATTCTGGAGCGTGGACCTGAACCCTGCACTGGTCATATTACTGACCTACGTGCGGACGTTTATTGATTAACCATGTATGGCGATCCTACCCGGCGTTACCTTACTACTGTATACTATACAGTGGCGTATATAGGGGATGATATTGAGGGTAACGTTGAAATTTATAGTTGGTACGGCACGCGGGTATTTATGAATTTATTTACTCTATATATTAACTAAAACCCAAAAGCTTTTTTTATGACTCCTCCCCCCAAATTAGTTTCTATATGTGTCACTACCACTGTAAAATGTACGTATTTTGTTGATTTGAAATTGTAGGAGAAGTATGTTTAAAAAATGAACCAGAAACAATAAGACGAGCTGATACTGCTGGCGAGCATACCACATATTTAGGAAGAAAGTCAGATGAGAAGATATTACATGTAGAGCAATTAAATTTATTCTGTATGCGACGATAAATCGTTTCCAACGAATAACGATTCTGAAAAGAGTAAATTATTAATCGTAATTTTTCCTGCGTTTAAGTTCAAATTTTGACGAAAATCATAAATATTTACGGCATTCGAAAACACGTTTAAAAAAACTCCACTTGGAATTGTTTTTCGTTAAAAATGGTTTGCATACAGATATAAATCAAGTAATTTCAACTTAATACCTATCATCCAAACTTCCCACATATAATAATGGCCCAACTATCAGCCGTAAAAGTTTTATTTTTTTTAATTTCCCCATGTTGTTTGAGTTTTAGATAATACGTACGGAGGAAAGATCAATATAATTTGTTTATATTGTTTTTTTTAATTATTAATAATTTATTTTCTTGTTTACATAATAATAGGTGTGTGTATATATGTATAAATAACTCTTTTTTAATTAAAAAAATATATACTAATAATTATATTAGATGTACTTTACGTTATATTTCGTATTATTATGGCACGTGCGAAACGTGAGTCAAAATTATTATTCAAAACTTTAAAACTCGTTTGTTGCGTACTTTTCTTTTTTTCTTCTTAGATAAGTCAGCCACAGGGCCATTTCGTTACATAGCCTCATTTCCAGTTTTCTCTATTCGATGTAATGCTTACACATCCCTTCTGACTAAGTCGTCCCATCATCTAAAGCCGTGGTCTTCCCAGCGACCACTTTCTAGTTTGCTTTTCTGCAAGTGTTGTGCGCATGAGCGAATTTAAACATCGCCACGCATAATCAACTTATCGTAATCTTTTGTCCCTCATCTTTTTCAATATATTTGATTTGTAAAACAAACCTAACCTAACTCAATATTTTCCTTATTTTCCATTCACCACTCTATTTAGCGTGCCTTTCACAGACCTAAGAATCTTCCGTAATACTTTCAAGAACTACGAGCTTTCTTTCTTCGCTACTTCTTACTGGCCATGTCTGAGCTCCATATGTCATTACAGGACGTAATAACGTTATATATAACTGTGTTTTTGAATCCTTCGATAGTATTGGCGATCCCAACAGTTTTGCAAGCATATATAGTGTCATTTATTTATAAACTGAATACTTGCCGTTATTCCTTTTTCAATTTAAATCACTTACTTTTACATATCTCTAATTCTGCCGTTTTTAATATTTTAGATTCTTAATTGAGTAAAGAAGCTTGTGGTTTTACAAAGGTGTTTATTTATTTTTGTCTATGGATCACTTTTCTACTTGAGGACTTACTTCGATTTTTATGTTTAGCCAGTTTTCTAAAAGGAAATCGGTTTGGAAAGGTACCTTTGGGAGGCTATTTTTTGATTTCCTCGAGTTTTCTCATCAAATGCGAAAAATCGAAAAAATACGGGAAAATGTACAAAATTTATTTGTATAATATTACGATTTTTTTTTTTTTGTGGACATTTTTTCTCCATTTTGCTCTAACTTTTAAATAGCAATTTTTTTGAAAGAAAATTTCACAGGCGAGGTACTTTAAAGATGTCGTTTTTCGATTTTTTTTTCCTTGAGTTTTCTCGGCAAATATGAAAAACTGAGAAAAACATGGAAAACCGGGGAAATACATTCAACATTAAACAAATTTTATTAAAGAAAATATATAGAGCCTATTTAACTATTTTAATATATTGTGTCATATATATATATATTGTTAACAAAGCATCACTATTAATTGAACTCCGCTCAGAATTGGCTTTTCGTTACCAAAGGTTTATCATTACAGATATACATTAAATTTCAGTCTGAAACCTAACTTACCTTCCCAACTTCCTGCCTACACCAGTGGCTGTACCCGTCCCCGTTATCTTTATTTAAACTCTTTTAATAGCTTTTGGAACGTGCTTTCGTTTTCACTTTAATGTGTTGCTTGCTTCTCTTTGGCGAATTTTGAACCTTGTCAGCGTTATTTCAATGTTATTATCTAATACTTCACCTATTCATGGAAGTTTAAACATAAGTTTTTATTTGAAAAACAGAAGTAGGTAGCCGTGTTAACCCCAATCCCCTCCCAAAAAAAAAAAAAAATAAAAATATGGACCATAAAAAATAATGGAATTGTAACGTTTTAGAGCTGCTTGTTTCTGGAATCGTCAAAAAAAAACAACGAAAGTTTTAAAAAGTCAATAGATATGTTTAGAAACAATGAGTGTTCTGCTATTAAATAACCGGTACCTATATTTACTGGTTTCCTCGTTAATTCCCTAAACACACCGTGTATAAAGTAATCACGGTATGAAATCAGACGGTCTATTTTTATATAAGCTATACGGCTGTGTTATTACATCACATTGTGCGGTATGTGGTCAAGAAAACGGATTCAAATCCCAGGACGGAGTTGAACAATGTATTGATAGTACACAGTCCTTGAAATCCGTACCGCACCGCTATCTGCAGTGAGTGCCACAATAACGTGTGGGTGTAATATTATATGGTCAACAATGTGTTTACCTTATCGACATTTTGCCGAAGGAAATAAAATAGCACGGGGTGATTGTAATAATAATAATAATAATTCGACCACTGGCGACAATCGGCAAAATTGCCGTTTAATTCCGTTATGCTCCCCGTCACCGTCACCGCAGTACGACCCCGCGATACAAAATGTTTTTCAGTATACAGCCGATATAATATATTATTGTCCGTCTATCAGTGGCTCCAGCCAAGTGGGCGAAAAGAAAAAAAAAACTAAATAAATGTCTTATTCCAACACTCCTCTATTTACACACGGCGGTTCGTTTTTCACGAGGGCTGTGCGATTTATTGCCTCGCGCCCGTATTGCCAATTTTCCTATTATAAATTCACATAAACGTGATTAGTATAATAACGCGATGTTAGTATTATTCCCTATTCAAATCGGTTTTTAAATAATGCTCGTCGAATGTGAAAAAAAAAAAAAATCCAAGTCGGATATAACTCACTAGAGTTCGCGTAGCTACGCACAGCAATTATTATTTCCCGAAAAATTTGAATATTTTCAATTTTGAACATTTAAGAAATGTTTAGCTCCGAAACGTTTCATTATTTTTCGTCGCCCTTTATTTTGGATATGAACCGATCAGACTATCGACATTTGATTTTAAAATTTCAATGTATATATTTTAAACATTCCATAGATAGACGGAGTATTAGTTTAAATAAACTACATTTAAGAGATGCTCGGTTTTTGGATCGTCAAAAAAAAACTTACTTTGTCACGTATTTAAATACATGTGTGTGTGTGTGTGTGTGTAATAATCTTACAGATTGCCGCAGAATAAACTAATATTATGTAGTTAAAAAAAAAAAGAAAAAAGAACACAGACGTGTTTTTGTTTCGATTACCTCTCGTGTAATCGAAATTATTGAAACGCGATAAAGAAAAAAATATATACATTTATTGACAATAGACGTATTTCATCGAAAACACGCAATACGCGACGGATGTTCGAGCATTAAAAGTTTTCACATAAAAAAAAGAATTCATGCGCATTTTTAGTTTTTTTTTTTTTTAAAAACGACTCGTATCTAAATAAATATAAATTATTTTTCGTTCGTTCTTATTGGGAAGTTATGACTATAAAAGCTTAATTATTGCAAAC